AGGTCATTGGCTGAGAAGATATGGAGGAACAGACTGCTTTGTTCACTCTGCCCTTCCTCCCTAACCTTCCTTGAACCTCCTCCCTCACGTTTTCATGTAGGAGATCCGTACTTTAAAAAAATAATAATTGTATATAATATAATATACATATATTCTACTAAAATTTTGCATCAGCTAATGTGGTTGGTCTCTCCACAGTATTTAAATGACACCTTTTGTATTAAACATTTTATGTGTCTCTCCCCAGTAGGTACACTGTAGTCCTAGGCAGAAAACCATCCTATTTAGTGTTGTTGTACCTTTTGCATACATTGTTTACATTCTGCTGCGATTGGTCTCCAACCATGAGAGTGATCTCCCACTTCCCCCACCTCCCCTTTAGTCTTTTATTATACTTTTTCCTTTTTTTTCCCCACGTAATAGCAGTGGTGTCTCCCCTTTGTTTTTTAATTGTGCGATAACCATTTTTTGATTATCATGGGAAGTATGCAGTTTTGTTATTTAGAGTTGAGCTCTAGTGATTTATTGTCAACATTGAATACTGACTTTCAGGGCTTCTTTGGTCTGTCCTGAACCCTTGCATTAGAAATTCCTGTGTCTAATACAATGTTTTGTCAGGTCTGATCTATTATTCCCCTGTTTCTTTTGCCTATAATAATACTGTGACTCTACTCTTCTAAGTTCTAGATATGCACATAATCAGCTTCTTAAGCACATTTCCACTGAGGTATTCCAGACCCTCTGACTCAGTGTGTTAGTACCATAAGAAACATGTTAATTTGTATTCAAACATTGCTTCTACATTCCTGGTCTTGCATCAAAACTTCACCCATTCTATAAGTCATTCATAGCAAGAACTCTGTTCCACTAAATATCTTAAATTTGTCTCAGCTTTAGCACCTTTCTTGGGGTTCAGTCTCATCACCAGCTACTAGATTCTTGGAATGAGAACCCAAATACTCTGCAGTATCCTCCTCCTCTTTGCTTTCCTATACACTTCTTTTCTGAAGAATCTTTAGAACAAAGTGTCAGACCAGGTGCAATCGTGCACACTTGTAATCCCAACAGCTGAGGCAGGAGGATAGCATATTCAGAGCCAGCCTCAGCAAAAAGCAAAGCACTAAGCAACTCAGTGAGATCCTGTCTCTAAATAAAATATGAAATAGGGCTGGGGATGTGGCTCAGGGGTTGAGTGCTCCTGAGTTCAATCCCTGGTATCCCCCCCTGCCAAAAAAAAAAAAAAGGATCATTTATCCCTGTTTTATCTGGGTTCCTTATGGCATGTAAGGCCTCTGAATTGCCCTGGCTCATTTGACCAGCTTCAAAAACCTCATCTCCTATGTTTTCTCAGTTTTCATCAAGTTGTTCTGTTTCATTCTCTGAACAGAGCACTTGGGTGCATCACTTTGTTGTAAGCCTTTTCAAAAACTATTCCTTTTTTGACCAGTAGTGTCCTTCCTTACATTGGCATTGTATGTGCTCTACTTCCATTGAGACCCAAACCAGACATTCCCCTTAATTCCCACTCAGATCCACACATCGTCTTTATCAGTTGCACCTTTTTTATCACCATACTAGTTTCTGTCATCTACAAAAATTAAGGTTTGTTTGAACTAGACTGTCCCTTTGAAGAAAGGGAAGATTTTATTTATATTCCCAGCCTGTTAGACAAGTTAATAATATAAAGTTCAGATGTTCACTGTGTGTGTGAATGAATTTGATTTTTCATCTGTAACTCTAGGAACATATCTTAGTGTACAGCGTATTTCCAGATAAAGTGAATTATTGCTCTTCATACTCTTTTGACCTGGAAACTCAATATGTATTCCATTGGTATGAACTTTCTGTCAGCTTTCCTAATAAAGATTGCCTAATAAAACTTGAAGTTCAGATCGCATATCTACCTTTTGCCACCTCATGTATTTTTAATTAAATATCTTTTATTATAAAAGTAATATGTGCTCACTGCAGAAGAGGAAAGAGAACTACAGCTAATCCAATAAAAAAAGAAATCTACCATCTACTTCTGGTCCAAAGGCCATTGGGTCTACAGACTTAAAAGGAAATCAGCTTGACACATCTTCCTAACACTATTTACAAAATAGGGAAGAGGTTTGGGGTATGATCTTTTAAGCAAATCCCAAGGACAAATACCCATATGGGTAAAATGGATGAATTGCAATTTTTTTTCTTTATAAAAATTGTGCTGTATAGGAGGTTTTAAGTATATGATTGTCGTGTATGTGTTGACCTTGTTAACAGTCTATATACCCTCAAATGCATGCTATGAAGGACTTAAGAGGTGCAGTCCTAGAGCCTCAGATTTGTTTTATATAGAATTGTTTCCAGTTTTCTATTTCCTGAATAAGGTTGAGGTCGTTTTGCATTCTTTGGCCACTCTCAGATTGATAATTCAGAAAACCAAGTCATGATGAGGAAATTAAGAATGGGACCTTTCCATTGCCCTGTAAGAGTCACCGTTTGCTTTTGAAGAATACTGAACTTAATTCTTTTGTCATAATAGGTATTTTGAAACCCTCTCCCATTTTCTAGCATTTAAAAATTTTGCCTTTGCCCTTTGAAGCTTAAAGAAATGTGCTGGAGTATACACACTGACCTTCAGAACAGTAAACATTGGTCCTTTCAGTCCTTGAAAACAAAACTTTTCATATAAAGCTGATGGAAAAAAATAAAGTTTGGTTGCTTTAAAATGCTTCTGTGTAATGAGATCTCTATTAAAAGAAGCTTTAACTGAGTATGTACATTTTATGTTGCTTTGAACTAAAGGCCACAGATCTAGAAAATAACACTATCCATTTAGAATGAGAGGAAGGACATACATTAGGTACTTTTGTTTTTATGGTATATATTCAATTATATTTACTTAAAATGCTAAGAAGAATGTTTTGGTCTGCCACTAGATCTCATTTGAGTCTGAAATACAGTCTAGGTGGTGGTCCTATATGTATTCGTTGTCCAGGATTTTCCTAACTACAGTCTGAGGGGACAAATTAAAATCTATCTTTTTGCTGTTACTCAGTATACTTAAAATTTCCCCAGCCACCAAACTTGACTTCAAATCATGCTGGGTATTGAGGGAACAGGAGGAATTGATGAAGATCGTAATTATCAGAAATGATAAAACTGCTCTTTTTGTAAATCAAATATTTAGTGTTAGGACTATCTAAATAAGATGTATGGAATAGTAATTTCAGTAGTTAATAGAGAGGCACTGAACCCATTCTTACTTCATTTGATGTCAAGTGGAAGTGACAGATATCACTGCTATGCCTATTTTATAAACCTGAAGACTGCGGCTGGGGTTGTGGCTTGGGGGTAGAGCTCTCGCCTAGCATGTGTGAGGCACTGGGTTCCATCCTCAGCACCACATAAAAATAAAATGGTATTGCATCCATCTACAACTAAAAAATAAATGTTAAAAAAAAAAAACAAGGGTATGTGTCCAAGATCACTCCTGAGAAAGTTTATATTGCATAAGTGTATTTCTGTTTAAGCATTTAGAGGGCATTTTAGTAAGTGCCCAAACTGGGCAGCGTTCATGTCAAAATAGTTATTAATGAGTATGGCTCAGTGTTAGACACTTGCCTCGAGTACATGAGGCCCTGAGTTCAAACCCCAGCACCACCCCAAAAAAGAAAAGTTATAAACTAGATTTCTACGTACATGTTTCAGGTTCACTTCAGTGGTTAAGCCTGACGAAAATTGGATCATGTTATGAATAACACAAACTGAAGAAGAAATTCTCATTTATTACATTAATTTTTTTATACAGAAATTGTAGAAACATGGAAAGACTTTAGTTTGCAAGTTATAACCTAAAAATAACATGATGGTGTGGGGGGGAGAAGCTGAAAAACTAGTACTAAAGTATTGAGTCATTTTTCTATTAATTACACAAGCATTTCTATTGCCATTACCAGCTCATAGCATAAACCATAACTTGCTCAAAGATTTTCTGCAGTACAGTGGTAAATACCATGTTCTGACAATATCTGGAGCACTTTTCCATTATCAAAGTAACTCCAGGGGCTGGGATTGTGGCTCAGCAGTAGAGTGCTCGCCTAGCACAGGCAGGACCCAGGTTCAATCCTCAGTACCACATAAAAATAAAATAAAGATGCTGTTTCCACCGAAAACTAAATAATAAATATTTTAAAAATTCTCTCTCCCCCCCCCCCCTTTGGGAGTATTTACCTTATATTTGAAAGAAAGAAATTGAGAGAGATTTGGTGCCTATTATGTAAGTGGAGAACCAAAACAAATCCTTACTTCTTTTCACTATGATTATAGATGTTGAATTTGTGTAACTCTCAGACTAGAATGAGAAGCCCTCATGTAAATGAGAAAGTGAAACTAGTAAGTCATTGTTACTATAACAGCATCAGTTTATTCATCTTGGAAGAATGAACACCTAGCATTATTCAGCAGTCTTGGCGACCTGGCAGGTTACACATTGTGCTGTTCTATGAGGCATTTTAAGACTATAGACTGTAGCATAGAATCATTTTCTCACTGGATTTTCTAGGTCAGTGGCCTCATTTTTTTCGTAATCTAGTAGTTATGTTTAGTTGAAATACCCTTTGCTTGGCTTCAGTAGTTATTGCTGGTGAATGCAGTCCTTTCTCTCATTAGGTTTTAAAACATGTTTCTCTAATGTATTTGGAGTGGTGAAACAGCTTCTACTGAAGCCTGCCGAAGATTTTGACCTACTCTTCAAAAATTGGTGTATTTGTTTTCTTTTCCAGCTTGCTTTTGCCTCCATCTATATACTAATTACAAAATGAGTCATTAATAGATTCCTTGCTTTAGGTACTGGACTCTCACAGTGGATGTGGGATGCGTTGGTACAGATTGATACATAGCATGGAAATTAAGATTCTAGATTGAATTTCATTTTGCCTTTAACTCCACAGATAACAGCTAAAATTAGAAGGCTGTCTTCTGTGGCATTTACATTTTTTATTTTTGTTGTGTTTTAGGCACTCAAGGAGTCACTCCTGGTCCTGTAATCGGGCTCCAGGCACCATCTACTGGTCTTCTGGGTGCACGACCTGGCCTCATCCCACTCCAGCGCCCTCCAGGAATGCCTGCACCTCATTTACAGAGATTCCCTCTGATGCCACCCCGCCCCATGCCACCGCACATGATGCACAGAGGTCCACCACCAGGACCAGGGGGCTTTGCAATGCCTCCACCGCATGGAATGAAAGGGCCCTTCCCACCACATGGCCCTTTTGTTAGGCCTGGTGGAATGCCAGGGTTGGGGGGCCCGGGGCCAGGCCCAGGGGGTCCTGAAGACAGAGATGGAAGGCAGCAACAATCGCAGCCACAGCCACAGCAGCCACCTCCACCACAGCCACAGCCGCAGCAACCACCACCATCACAGCAGCCACCACCAGCCCAGCAGCAGCCACAGCAGTTTAGAAATGATAGCAGGCAGCAGTTCAATTCAGGTAGAGAACAAGAAAGGTTTGGAAGAAGATCTTTCGGAAATAGGGTGGAAAATGACCGGGAACGGTATGGGAACCGTAATGATGATAGAGATAATAGTAATCGTGAAAGGAGAGAGTGGGGAAGAAGGAGCCCTGACCGGGACAGGCACAGAGACTTGGAAGAGAGAAATAGACGTTCTAGTGGGCACCGAGACAGAGAGAGAGATTCTAGAGATAGAGAGTCTCGTAGAGAGAAGGAAGAAAACCGAGGAAAGGAAAAGCCTGAGGTGACAGACAGGGCAGGTGGTAACAAAACCGTTGAACCTCCCATTAGCCAAGTTGGAAATGTAGACACTGTTTCAGAACTTGGTAAGGGGGAGGCCGAGGCCACAGTGGTGAAACCTTCCGAAGAGTTACCTGCTGAGGCTACCTCATCCGTTGAACCCGAAAAGGATTCTGGCTCAGCAGCAGAGGCTCCTCGTTAGAGACTGGAATTTGTCCCAATGTGACAGTGACACTTCTGGAGTGTAGAGCTTGAGGTGTACAGATGCTGTATTATATTTGCTCCTGCTATATCACAGCCCCGCAGTAGTTGGTGGGGAATTGTAAAGCAATTTGATTGCTTCCCTTCTATTTAAAAATAGCCACAAAATAACAAAAAATACTGAAGATATGAATAAATATTACCCTTTTTGCTGTAACTTTTTAAAAGTTTTGACTTTAAAAAGTTTACAAATCGTAATTAGAAGTGCTCTCTATTTTTTTTTTTTTTTAATTTAAGACAAGGTAACGGTGAAAGCTCCTCAAAAACAATAGGGATGTTTTTAATAAACTCTATTTTCGTAACAAACTTTAATGTGTGCTATTCTTCCTACACTGCATTAAGGTAGAAAAGGATTGTTCACCATCAAAGTTTGAGCTCTTATGTATTGGAGTCTAAATTAGACTTGTTTGATGGAAATACAATTTTATGTAGTTACTCTCAAACACTATCATTTGTAATTTTTTTGATTTTTAGCATTTTAATCATAAGTTTAGCGGTTTGTTACTTGAAAAGCTCGTTAGTGTTTGCAGTTCAATCAAGGTTTTTGTTTTTTTCCATTGGCTTTGTGGTAATGTCCTAATTAATTTGTAAAAACATTTTATTTGGGGAGAAATTGATTCCCAAATCATAAAACTGTACCATAAAATTATCTGTTTACCTTGGATATTACTTAGGGTTTTTTTTTTTTTTTTAATCATCCCATTAAATTTTTCCAAAAAGGTAAAATGAAATCAAGGTTAACATTTGCAACCTGAAAGCTTTTTGTCTTATTTTATATAAGGACTTAAATGCAACCTATTGTTTCTTATAAGCCTTGCCTGTTGCCTTTCTTTACTGTTTTAATTTCCCTGCTGCTCAGAGGTAGACTGAATTTTTTGCCACATAAAGTGTTTTATCTCTTTTGCTTATAACTGTTGGGCTAACTGGGAAAATGGATTTAAGTTATTCAAGAAGTATCACTTGAAAACATTTGAAACCAAAACAAGCCTTCATAAGAAGCAGTACAGAAAAGCAGTCACATGAAACTGCTTACCCAGTCCTCCTAAATTCTTATACTGTCCTAGTTTCCTAGTGCTGAGTAGGTGACTTTGTTTATCTGCATCCTCAGTGAAACTACATTATTTTACTACTTCTCAGTAAGATCTGTATAGACGAGGATAATGTATTTAGGACAGCCTTCTACCCCTGCCTTTAGAAAAGTCCATTTCATATCTGTAAACTTCAATTACAAAACTTTTCTTTAGTTTTGTGTTGCTCCAACTTAGGAAGTTTTGAAGCACTAACTGAAACTCCTTCCAGATTTCAAGGACTTTGGTGTTCCTGATTCCAGTTTAAGCTTCTACTTCCAGTTCAAAGTATTGACACCACCTCATTTGAACATGAAAACAAAAGCAAAAACACTGACTTTTGTAGTATGACTGCTTACTGTCCCTGTTATCTGAGTCATCCCACAGGTGCAACAAACTACATTAACAAAATCTGGAAATACTGTTTAAAATTCTCTTATCTGAAGACCATCTAACCACTTAATGAGCATATTCTTTATCTCAAATCTGAACTTTGAAAACAGTATCTTTTTCAAATTTAGCTGTTCTAAATGACCTCTTACATTTCATAAAGTACATATTTATGGTAGAGAAACCAAGAATAAACTACAATCCTATCAGAAATCTTTATACAATTCTTAACTGTCATCCAGATAGTCACAAACCTTCGATAAACACATTCTCTCACAGGTACATACATATTTACATCAAAGGAAGAGAACTGATTTCTCTAATTCCCTCAATTGCAACTTGGGTAAAGTAAGTAAATTCTTAAAGACTATTTTAACAGCCAGAACAAATATTTCCCTGGTTCTACCTGCTAGTACTTGTAGTATCATGAGAGGGCCAATCTGAAGAAAACAGATTGTGCCAACTTCCACTTTGTAAAGTTAAATCATTCTGATAGGTAGGTCAATTAATCTTAGCTAACTAGGTGTAATTAGCCTTTTACAAGTCACTAAAAATTATGAAAGGGCTTTCTTAAACCATACTACATGCTTTTGAAAATAAACTTAGGTAATTTATGAATCAAAATGCTAAGTTACTAAGCAGGGAAATTCCCCTAAAGCTGACAAAGGACAAATTTGGGTTGCCATAGCTAAAAAGAGAGCTGCTAAAATTTTTACATTTTGATGCCCTCTCTCAAAACGTTTTGAAAGTGCTATGAAATCATTAGTATTACTACATCTGTTCAATTCATGTTCTATGTATAAGAGTATCAGAGCTTAATTTAGAATTTTGATTTGGATACTTTAATAGGCTCAAAATAAATGTCATCCTTCCTTAGGGTGTTTATTCACAAGCTTGAATGAGAATTGAAGAAACTCAGTGAGTTTAATACCCACATGTGATAAGTGGTAAAATACGGAGATTGTTAAAACATTTTAATTAAATGAATTTTATAAAACTATACAATATTTCCAAGTAATTGTAAATCATTCTCATTACAACACTTAAAGCAATTAAAAAGAAGTCACACAATTACACTTTTAAGATTATAATGTTTAATGTTTATCAAGTTAAATTTCTACAGCTAGCAGGATAATAGATGAGTTACTGGGACTCAGACAACATAGAAGGGAATGTTTACTGCGCGATCCCAATTACACCACAAGCCAGACGACTTCCAGCATTTCCTGTCTTTGTACTTTCTTCATTTCCACCTTTGCCCAAGTCATCTGGTTTTTCATGGACCTTTAAAAAAATTTAAGAACATTTAACTTTGGGCTATCAAGTAATATAGAATCTCTTCCCAACAATGCTCTAAAAGACTTCTAAAAATCATTTAATATTAGAAAACAACATGTTAAAATAATCCAATTATCAAAAAAACACAAAAACTAACATGCTAGGAGTTTCAAAGTAGAAACTACTAAAAAGTTTTTTCTTGTTGGTGCAAAGACAAGTTACCTTTAAACACTAGCTAAGTGTTGCTATCTCTAAAAGAAATACTGAAAACCCAAATGCCACATGGTCTTCATTCTCCATGAAAAAACAGTAACCTTAGTTATAGTCAAAAATTTCATGCCTAATGAACTGTAGACCTATAAATAAGAAAGAATCCTAAAACTATTTAGCAATGGTATTTTAAATTTTGTACATTAAATGCTTCACCAATAGGGCTGAAGAAAATTCTAAGGATAAAGGGTCCACTGAAAGGAAGTGCCTACTGAATGTTAACTGCCCTGACGGGGCAAGAGAGCCTTTCCTACCAGGTGGCGTGCATGAAGCAGATGCAGCTTCCAGGGTAACTTGGGAGGACCGCTCCATATGGCAGCCTACACACTTGACTCATTATGAATACTCAAATCCATCCCAGATTTTAGATTCAACAAAATACTCTATTTACCTACAAGGGGAAACAATCATGGCAATAAAATATGGCTGCTTTAAAACTAAAAACTACTATCTCCCCAATTTGATCTGATATGGCCAAATATAACCTGCTTTTTACTGCACCTTAGCAGAACAGTGTTCTTAACTGACCTAGATACATTAATTCATCTTCACTGTAGACATTGAATAAAATACTTTTCCTAATCTGAACTAAAAGTACAATTTATGTGGATATTTAAAAACCAAGACTAACCACTGAGAAAATGGTGAAAAGATACATGACTATATGTGAGAAAAAATCCTATGCATATCCTTTATATGAAAACTTACCACCATTGTGCGGCCAATGATGGAATGCTCTCCTGAGAGTGAGATCACAGAATCTTCAATGGACACATTAGCCACACCATCTTTGTCAGCAATCACATTACCCAGGTCTCCGACGTGCCTGGCATTGAAAAATTATCAGATGGATTAGCACTGATTTTCACTTAACATCAGAGGATTCATGTACTAAATTAAAACATGACTGAGTCAAATATATAAGGCAGACTAAGAGGTATGTATCAAAAAAGATCACTTTTCCAGATTGACAAAATTCTGAAAACATAAATTTAAAAACAAGCTGAGAAGGAGTCCTGGGATGGGGGCAACCTCTAATTTCAGAGATAAAGTACCACAGAGTAAACTCATCTACTGAGTTATCCCTCTCAGTTAATGGAACAATTAAGAAAGCTAGGCCCCGAGGCCTTCTGTTATAAAAAATAAATTAATCTTGTCCTTAAACTTAATATTCTGAAAGGTCTTCAGAAGACACACACATACAAATGGGGGTCTCAGCTAGTTTCCAGCATGACATTTTTATCTACAGAAGCTTCCTAGGTTCACACTGATGCTTTCCTTTTCTAGTGGCCAACAATACTGTTACTCTTGACATTTCCTGTATTAGTTCCCTTTGGCACTTGTATTAGTTCTATATTCAATAAATGCTACAAAACCTAATTGTTTTAAGTGTTCCCATTTGTCACCGCCTTAGCCCAAGTAATAAGCCATTTCAGCATAAGGGGTGGGGAAGCTATGTGGAAGACAACAAATTCAAAAGCACAGGGGACAACACTCAATCATCTTGCTTGATTTTGCAAGCAGTGCACACTATCAACGCCACAAAACATCACAATTACTTCAGAGGAGCTCAGCATCTTGCAGCTCACCTTTCTTCATCTGTTGGCCCACCATGTTTTTTGGATTGAGGATTAAAGTGAGGACCTGCACTTGTACAGCCTATTTATAAAAGAAAAAAAAAGGGGGGGGGGGTCAGCTAGTTTATCAATCAAAATTCCAAAATAAATTCTAAAAAGAAAATGATCATTGCCAAAACTTCCGATAGAGAAAGCACTGGTCTGCGCATGATTTCTGGGATAATAAAAACAGGAAGCAACAGCTTGGTATGAACACAATGGACTGGGATTCTAACTACTGACACTAGTCAAATTAATATCCTTCTCTGGGTGTTGGCTTCTTCACAATGAAATGGTAGGCCAGACAACTTCAACAGGTCTTCTAGGAGTTAAAATCTCGTGTTTATGATCCTAGTTTTAAGAAGGTAGCATGTCTAACTCCAAAAAACTTATCTCTTAAGCAACATATATCAAAAGACTCTCCTGGTTTGTCTGAGGCTTTTACCTGGTATAGGCAGAATATTAAATAGCACCTTTGTGCCACACCCAGATGTGGCATTCCTGTGCACCAGAGATGTCATTCACAAAGAACACAGCCATGACAGCCCAGGAGGTCCTTTCATGATAGGCTTTCTCTATTCAACAACCAAAGGAAAGCTTCCATTGTTTATAGCTTCTACCCAGGCAGGCCCCAGGGTAGAAGAAGACAGCAGGTTAAGGGAAGTAGTTTACCAAGTCAAAGCTACACAACGAACACTTCTCAAACCAGAGGTAGAAGCAAGTTGGGAATTTTAGTCATTACTGAAACCAGTAAAATCTGGTCACTAAAATAACTATTTGGAAACAAACCATGGTACATTAAAAACAAGTTCCAGCAAAATCAATCAAGTACTCATCCCAAATCTATAAACATGATTGAAGTTCAGATTATAACCCAAATATGGCAAATGATGACCAAATGCAATTTAATCTGTAATCTTTCATTAATTTGCTCCTAATCCCAAATTAAGAAAATGAAATTCATTCCAAAGCACCAAGTCTACATACTATCTTGAGTTTGTAATCATGTCCCAACAGGGATCTAAAGTTGGGTGTGAAGCTGTTCCAGGGGGTAATGCAAACAAATCAGGTGCTGTGCAGGAGCTCCCATCCCAGCTCACAAACACCTGAGATCATTACCCAATACAAGAAAGGAGCTTTTACTTGTTTCCTATTGTGTTCTTAAAAAACACAAGATAAGGCCAGGGGCAGTGCTCCCGAGGCTGAGACAGAAGGGTCAAAGCCAGCCTTGGCAAAAGCAAGGGACTAAACAACTCAGTGAGACCCTGTCTCTAAATAAAATACAAAATAGGGCTGGGGAGGTGGCTCAGGGATCAAGTGCCCTTGAGTTCAATCCCCAGGACGTACCCTCCCGCAAAAAGCACAAACTCCACAAAATCATAAACTCCTTTCTCTCTCCTTCCCACACGTCATAGTCAAATACCAGTTTTGTGGCTAATTTCCTTAAGGCTGGCCTTAATAATAATTTTATTTTAACTTGACCTTCAAAAAAAAGTTGAAGGTTTTTACCACTGAGGGGTTACTCAGTCCTATTTGCCTTCCTAGCTCGAAAAGGTATGGTCAGTGGAGCACTGCAAAACTTACCTTGTGTGTTATCTCCAAACTGATGGACGTGGAATCCGTGCTGGCCTTCAGCCAATCCTGTAATGCGTCCCGATACCACAACTTTATTTGCCTTTATTCAAAGAAAAGTGCATTAAGTTTGAGAATACAAGTACTTTTGAACAAAGAAAACAGTTGACTTACCTTTATTAACACAGTAAAGTGATAAAGACAGACTCCCACTACTTCCCAGCCAGTGAGAACCTCCTTGTTCTAACACTGCTGCTCAGGATTAAGTAACATATAAAAAGTAACATATAAAAAGCACATTACAGAGCAGCATAACACAGCAGGAAGGCAGTAAGCACCTAAATGTCAAATGTGTGTAATGCACTTTGTAGGATGTGACTCTTGCAATGAATATGTAAATATGACTAAGTACTTCTTTAGTAAATGCTTCTGAACAGGTTGTATTTGTACACAGTGAATACACAGGTACATAGCCAACCTTTTTTCTTTTGCAGTGCTGGGGATCAAGCCCAGAGCTACATACTCAGTCCCATATCAAACTTTATGAACCCAAAACAGTGTGTGATGGTGCACACCCATAATCCCAGCAGTAGGAGGCTGAAGCAGGAGGATCAAAGGTTCAAGGGCAGCCTCAGTAATTTATCAAAATAAAAAGGGCTGGGGGAGTAGTGGTAGTGGTAGACCACCGCTGGGTTCAATCTCAACTACCATACATGAAAAAATAATCTAAAAAGAGAACCTCAAATCATACTCTCATTATTGGCCCTTTGCTCTTTCTTCATGCAGATATTCTTCCTTGGGGCAAACAGTTGGGTATTTAAAAAAAAAAAAAAAAAAAACACCCATCAATATCCAACTTGCTACCCCAGGACTCATTCTCTACTCTAAGTTCACTTAGTAGTCAGACAATATACTACCCTGAGAGAACATACTCTTTTTTTTTTAAGTCTTTTTTAGGCACTGAAATCTAGAAACCTTCCACACTAACAAAAAGAAAGGACAATAAAATCACTAAAGTAGTTGGGCTAGGCATGGCCTATGCAATACCAGTAATTCAGGAGGCTGAGGCAAGAGGATTGCAAGTTGGAGGTCAGACTCCAAAATTTAGTGAAACCTTAAGCAACTTAATGAGACCCTGTCTCAAAACATAGAAGATTTTAAAGGGGCAGAGGATGTAGCCTAGTAGTACAGCAGTCAAGTTCAATCCCCAATACCAAAAACAAAAACAAAAAAAAGCAAACCACTGAACTAAGCAGAAAAAAACAAAGTAGTATGACATGCCATTCAGGCAGTCATACCAGGTAATGGTACTGCATCTAGAAATTAAGGACACTACTGTCATAGCTCAAGTCAAGAACTGAAATAAAACATAAGACAGGAACTACATCACACTGTAATACATATGCTAGTATCTTTGTTTTTAGCTTAGTTTGTTGTTGTTGTTTATTTGTTTTAATAACCAGGATCAACAAGTATAGTTCTCCTCCCCATACATTTCATAGATACCTGCACATACTACCACTACTGTCCTCTCTGTAAAAGACTAAATATCTACTTTGAAGATATCTACTAAATATAATTCATGTATTAAATAATATTCTCATAGTGTAATTACAAATTATAAAATATAATTGATAATTATATAACATTGTTATAATGTAATTATAAATTACAAATTTTTTTCTCTAGTTCGGAGTCTTGTTTAATTTTCCATCTGAAAACACAGCTCAAAGAAAGCATTCATACAATAGCAATTCATACAATTGCCCTTTTTTGTTCTGAAAATAGGAATTACGATTCCTCTATGTACAACCTTTAATTCTGGAAAAAATCCAATGTGAACACTTCCTCACCCTGAAACAGAGAATCACCAGGCAAAAAGGGCAGGTTCTTTCAAACCCCAACCCACACATGGGCAATGCATACAGAACAAGTAAGTAGTTCTTCAGAAGCAGTTGTACAGTTACATCCTAAGGGACAGGTACCACTGTGCGTTAACACTGACATGGGAAGCAAAAATGAATATAAACTGCCCCAGTCCAGTGTTGTCTTGGGTTAATGGAAGCTCAGTATGAGCACATCTCCAAAATTTTCAAGGTAAGAGTAGGAAAGCAAACTTAGAGGTGAAAAGTTCTGATTTTTAAAGTGGGCAACTAAACGAAAATTTTAAATTTGAAAAAGGCCAGACCAGTTTATAGCCAAATTATTACATCTGCCAATCTGTAGAGCTGTAATGCTTAACTATCCAAGTGTCTTTATCAAGTACAAAGGGCACCACCGATATGAAGTTTGGAGCTTAACTAAACAATGTGATCAAGACAGGTGGAAAACCAACAGGAAACTGAGTTTGGCGGGTCTTCACATTTTCCAATGGCTAGAGGAAAAGGATCCCTCAGAGGCTTCCTAGGATTCTCCAGCAGTGGTGAATTACGCGGGGAGGAGAAAAGGGAGACAAAACCCAATCTGACAAATGAAACACAGCCAAATGGAGTCAAATACCAAAGAATCTTTTTCAGAAAAGGTGGAGACCAAAATACTCAAATACCAGGTTCTCCCTAGCATACACTACTTTGCATACACTTCTATTCCTGCCCACTCACATTTCTGTAAACCATTTTGAGGACTAAATCTCAATCATATATTAAATCTTCTCTCATGATTAAGCCAAGCACAACAAAACCTTTGGTTGGTAACATTACTATGGTCTGGCGACAGTCTTATCACAAGTTATCTTTCTTGCAGAACACATATTTTGCAAACATTATTGGCAATGAATATTTCCGAAAATGTTTATTTTACAAAATTTGTTCGTAAATTTATCTTTGAGAGATCCCACCTTAAAAAAAAAAAATTGTCTGCCATTTGGGCAACCTGGCTGCTAGTAGAGCAGTGAATTTGGTTTAAGGAATGCTCTAAAACCTGTTATTAAGTGCCAATTTCAAGTCTCTTACCCCACCCACTATTCTTAAACAACAGTTCTCAAGGATAGGTGCACATTAAAATCATTTGGAAACTTAAAAAAAAAAAAAAAGCAATGCACGAGACAGATTTTTATATTCTTGATCGGGGATTGGGCCTTTGGTATCTATATTTACTAAAAGCTCCCCAAATTAATTTACTGTGCAACCAGAGTTGATCATCGTTGCCCTGGAAAATTCCCAGTTAAATCTCTGGCCATCTTCTTGTCCTTGTGGCCCGACCACGACCAAAAGATGGGCCAGCACCATCCTGCAAAGTTCCACTTCCGTTCTCTGTTGAGTATTCTTGTTTTTCATTATAAAAATACAAAAATCAATCTTAGCTCGAAAGCTGTTAAAGACCGCGGAACTCAATTCGCAGAACCCCAATCTAGTGCACTGAAGTCGGGAAGGCAGCCCCAAGGAGAGAACGCATGCGACAATACTCGGGAGGGCCCTGCTGCCCCGGAAATCGGACTGCGCCAGTGTGTCCAAGAAACCCACGCGAGCAGGAAAAAGACCGCTCAGGGAAGGGCCAGCGCCACTTCACAGAAGACTAGCCCCCACCCTGGCCTCCAGACGGCCGCTAGCGGAGGCCGAGGCCCCGCGAGCAACCCGCCTCCCCGGCCCGCGGCTATCCGCACCAGCCCGGCAGGCTCTGCCGCTCTCCGCCCGCACCCCCGCCCAGACCGCCCGCGGCTACACGCCGCAGCGCGGGCGCGCCCCGTGATTCAGCACTTAGCGGACGCACGCGGACGCCAGTGCGGGTGCCAAGGTCTCGGGTGGCGCGGACCTCTAGGCCGGGGGCGTGGCGATGGCGGCCCGACCCGGCCCGCTCCCAACACAGGTGCATGGGCTGGCGGGCGAGCAGGGCCTCGCCGCGGACCTACGCCCCGGGCCTTGCCTTCTGCTCGAAGTGGATGGTGCCCTGAACCGGGCCGTCGCCCTTCAGCACGCACACGGCCTTCGTTGCCATAACTCGCTGGCAGTCCGATTCCGAGCGCGGCTAACGGAGCTGCAAGCCACGAAGCGGGAGACGCCGGCGCAAACCGGAGTGGAAGCTTCGCGGCTACTTTATAGGCCGGAGTCCCCAAGGCCCGCCCACATTCTATCCCGGAACCAATCGCCGGCCGCGAGGTCTGCCTGCCCCCTACGGCGGCTTTAGAACGCGAGTGGCCATAAATGCTAGGGGGCGGGGCCGAGGGCCGCGCGGGGAACCGTCCTCCGCGCAGCACCCGCTCAGGCCGCGGTTTGAAAAGTCCTGAAACCCGAAACCCGGGGAAAACGGCCTCTCCCTTCCGAAAGATGTGAAATGGTTCTCCCTGGAAATCTGCAGCTGCTTCGTCTAGACATGTTGTTAGTTATGAGTGACTGTGATCATAATATCTCGTTTGCTGTTCAGAAATTGGAATGTTCCAAAATGGATGTTTTTTTGTAGTTTTCATTTTTTTATTCACAGTGCTTTTGGCTTTGTGGTGTTGTGTATAAAGTCGATATTCCTCAACCCCTGGCTTCACATTTTCTTCTTTACAATTTTCTTAGTCCTTGCCCCATACTGTTACTTGTTTGGCTTCATATTTGTGTCTGGCCAGGCCAAAATCCTAAAGATGTCAAAATGGCAACTGGTTGGCTTCTAGGAATCAGAGTTTTTTGTCTGATTCTAACTAAGGACACACGCTCAAGGAGAAGGTTCAATAATTTATGATACGTTCATACAATAGGAGAGAGAAATATTACCCAATCTTTCAAGGAAAATATATTTAAAAAAATAAAACAATGAAATGAGCAAACAATACTTTTATTTTTAAAGATCAACATATGTTTTCTTGTGAGCTCAGAAATATTTAGAAAGATATAGAGGAGACTTGGATACCTTTCCAGTGCAAGATAAACTTTCACTAATGTTCTCTTACAATTGTTTTTACAGTGAACATGAATCTGTCTGTACTGGTATGGCTTAAATTTTCTCAGAATAAGAATTTCCCCCATATTAACCCATACTTTTATTGGGAAAATAGTTTGATAATGCATTGGGTGGAGGAGAGTGTTCCTGCTTCATTCAATAGTGTGTCTTTGAATAAAAAGTGATGGCTGAACTATTTTCTATGGAAGGGTAAGGTTCCTTATCCTGAAAGCCACTGTTAGTTCACCTAAAGGAATTGCTAAACTTCAGATGGCTGATTTCTGATTCAGAAATTTTGGGGTGAAAACTAATAATTCTGAGTTCCTGACTTGTTCTCTTGATGCCTAGTGAGACGCAAGCCGGAGACAAGAGCTGGAAGAAAGGACCAAAGGGACCCAGATTGGGAGCAAGAAGAGACCCACATGGGGAAGACTGAAAAATGCCCACTGGAATTTCTGTTTTGTTTGCTTTGTGGGATTTGAATCCTCTCCATCTCCTCAAAGGCTCATCAATACAATCTGCATTACCCCCAAAGCTCAGAAAACAGAATTTAGTTTTGAAGATGCACTTATCTGGGAAACATTTTATTTATTTAGGCCCTTGAAATCTAATGCATCTGCTATCAGAGACACACAATTCATATTTGTCATCCTCTAGAAAGTGTGACTTACTAGTATTCACCAGATGAACTTGCATATGCTAGACAGTTACATAAATGCCAATGCTGGCCAAAGGGCCTTTGCCCAAGGCCGAAGTTTCTTTTTGTTCCAGGAAGTGAGGGAGATAGATTGCAGGTCATTGTAAACTTGCCAAGAAAGCAACCCAAGGATACAAGGGGCCACTTGGGACAATAAGTTACAGCTGTTTTGAGATACTCAAATGAAGCCTAGACAACTCCTTGTTTGGCTCCATGGAAAGGTTTTGGGTTCTGCAGGATCACTCTCACACCTGGGCAAGGGGGTCCCTAGTCAAGACCCCCGCTCTAGAAGACCCTGTTCTGTCAATCTTCAGGCAACATCTTCTATGAATCTGTGAAGCCAGAAAGTGCCTCCACCCAGAACCTCACCTCTCTTTCTAAAGTGGAATTAAGGAATTGTAACTCTGTGGCATTTAACAGTATTCATGTCCTCCTTCAGCGGGTTATCTAATCTTGGCACCGTTGACCTTTTGGGCCACATAATTCCTTACTGTGGAAACTTTCCTGCACACTATAGAATGTTTAGTAGCATCCCTGGGTCCTATTCACTAGATACTAGTAGCACTCTCCCCACCCCCTTAGCTGTGACAACCCAAAATTTCTCCAAACATTGCCAAATCCCCCTCCCATTGAGAACCGCTGTTCTAGAACACCAGTCAAGTACCCAAGGCCCTAGAATTCCCTGACCCAGTATCCTTGATTTTGCTTCCAGGGTATGAACAGGCCAAGAAGAACTTGTGAGCTCAGAAATATTTAGAAAGATATAGAGGAGACTTGGATACCTGTGCTACCAGGTCTGCAGGCTGCCACTGTCATCTTCCTACACAGAACTCAAAGTCCAAGAATTCCAAATCTGAACTTGCCTGCTAGGTTCAGATTTGTTGAGACAGAAAGACAGGATATGTTTTATTTGTTTTATTAGCTGTGTTATTTTGATTTATGATATCTAAATATTTACCATATCTTATGAGGTCCTCTATTTCTTGTCTTAGTCCTGCAAATATCAGGGCAGGACTATTCCTTCCAACCTTGACTTTAGGGTGCTCCTGTCCCATCATGTAGTCATGGACCTCATGTATTTCAAACTGGATCATGCTTGGAGGACTCAGACACGTCATTTTAAAAAGTTCACTCTTGCACAGGCCACTTTCACTGAGAGTCATGATGTCTGAGAAGTCCACAGAATCCGATAATAGCTTAGCTCCCCTAAAACCTAGAACATGCTTTGAATCTGACAGTCAGAATGTGTCCCTTGAATGAGGGGAGACTAATTCTGTAGAGAGTGAGAAGTAGGTGCAGGTACCTCAGATCAGATTTTAGCTTGTACTGGAGTAACTGAGCAGCTTTTAATGTGTCATTCTGGCATTCCTGAGAATGAAGCCATATGGGGGACCTCTGTGATTAAGAGATGAACAAAAGGTAGAACAGAAATTCAGTCTTGGATTGACATCCTTATCCTCTGCTTTCTTTCACAGGACTCCCTCTTCCATCTTCCCCTTTATCTCATCTATCTCTTTCCCACACTTATTTTTAAAATGATTCTGTCACCTAAGGCAACTCCACTTTTCACCTTTTTCATTCTCAGTAAATAAGTGTTTTCTGTAAATCTGCATATCATACATCACAAATTGTCAACAGGCCTTTGCTCCAAGGCCCTCCCAGACATCAGAGTTCTCTTATGAATTGTAGAAAAAATGTCAGAACTAGGTGACACCCAAAGGAAACAGTGCAATGAGTTGTTTTTCAATTCAAGAAGCAAATGTACTAATAACTAGAGAGCAAATTAGAAAGACTTAAGAATGGTATTAGCCAGTCCTACCTGCATGTATTTAGTGTAAGTAAATAGCAAAAACAAAAGTTGTTACCAAAATGAAATGGTGCATGATTACACAGAGAATCATGAAGTATCTGATGCATTTTAAAAACTGGAGAGGGAAAAATATACAAATTAATTTAGATTGTTATTAGTGAGCAGGAGTAAACGGCCTGGGATCAGGAGTCTGCAAACTCTATAATCAAGAGGTAGCTGGATACTGCAGCATCTTAGTAATGACACATGTCATAGGCTATCTGTTTAATAGCTCCACCCTGGTTGCTAACCCAACTATGCCCCTCTATATCAGCTTGGATCATTCTCTCTAGACCTCAGCTGTAAATCAGAAGTACCTGGGTGAGATACAGTACTTGTCAACTCTGGTTGCATAGTAGAATTAACCCAGGAGATTTAAAAGCAAAAAATAAAAACACTGAGCTTAGGCCCCACTACCTTAAAATCTTAAAATTGTGTTTATTTATATTGTAAATGCACTTTACATTGCCATAAGATTAATAAGAAATTACCAATGGTTGTCAGTGGAAAGAGGCTTGTTACTTTTCATCACATAAGAAAAATAAGCCTTTATTTGTTAAACAATCGGTTCCAGTCACACAGCATCAGAAGCAATTGCTAGGGCTGGGGATGCAGCTCAGTGGTAGAGCTCTTGCCTACATGTGCTAGGCCCTGGGTTCAATCCTGAGTACTGCAAAAAAAAAAATAGTGGAAATTTTGAGAATCAAAAGCAATTGCTTATGGACAGACAAGAAGCCAGCAAAGACAGTTTCAGCAGCATGATTGTGTTCATTTGTGAGAGGTCCACTCCATATCGGAGTGGATGGACTGAAGCGGGTGGGGTGAGACTGCAGGCCGAGAGGCCATTTGGGAGACATGTTAGGGGGCTGGCCTAAGGCCATTACTGGAAGAGAGGAGAGAGAGGATGGAAATGGAACCTCAAACTCCAGCAACTCATACATGTGCAAGGTGAGGGGAGGCCAGGCAGCCCCCAGGTTTCTGCCCTAGGTGACAAGGGATTTGGTGGTTCTATTAACCAAGGAAAGCAGGTTTGGGACAAAGCTTAATTTAGGAGCTGGGCCGGGTGGCACACTCCTGTAAGAAGAATGCATTTTGACATATTATACATACATGGAATATTACT